ATACAACGATATCAAAGTATGAAAATTCGCAAAGAACAAGTGTAATATATAAATTATGGCGTTTTTAGTATTGATGTACTATTATTTTATTTTTTTATCGTCATTAAATCCATGACCAAAATCTCGACATTCGTCGTCGAAAAATTTTTGCCCGCACTGAACTAAAATCCTGACTCCACCCCTGACAGGGTGTGTGGTGGGATTTACGTCGATTGCTTGTGAACCTCCGAGAAAGCCAAGTCATTGGTTGCAATATAATTTTAGCAAGGTTTTTCGGTGAGCAAGTGAAATTAGTAGAATGTGTTGATTCTATATATGTGTATACTTTTTATGGTGAAGTATGATAATTCTCTAGCATTTTAAGTGACAGGACCAAGATAGTGGAAGAGATGGAACTTTGCTGGAGGCACATTATTCGATTTAGTTGTGACATGGAAGAAATCTTATTTGGAGGCCTCGGATTTTGCTAGAGGCACATTATTCCAATTAGAAATGACATGGAAGAAACTTATTTGGATTTCAATTTGGTATTATCTATTAAAATATGATTGTATTTGTGTCACAGGTCTATGATTATTTGAAATTCTCTCCAAAAATATATTTTTTACTTTTCTTCATCTTTCCTAGGATCATGTAAGACCTTAACTATTCAAGTCCATGCTAGATGAGTTAAATTTAGAAATATTAGCCAATCAATCTTATCCTGTGGCCTTGAAAATAATATTTTATATTGGATTTTTTATTGCTTTTGCTGTCAGTTTCAGAGTAAGCATTACACAATCTTCAAGATGATTTTATTTTTTTTGGAAAAAAAAAAGAGAATAGATCTTCCATTTTTCTACCACATATCCTATTTTGACACCAAGAAATGAGGGAGGGGATTCTCGAACACGGAAAAAGATCAAATGAATTTGAAAGAATTGAACGAGGAGCCCGTGAAGTAAATCATCGCACCTACGGTCCAACCAATTGAGAGAGAATCAATAGATTCCTTTTCGGGAGCAATTCATCCTTCCCAAACGCAGCACCTTCCCGGAGTTCATTCTCCGGGGAACTCCATTTAAATTATTCCGGTGGATTCTTTCCAATCTACTTCCGAGCCTAAGCAGCCTCATCCATCTTTTCACCTCAATTGTATCATATATAATCAAGATATCCAATATTTCGAAAAAACTCCACCGATTACCCATAGCCAGGAATAGAATAATTAAGAGAAAGATATTGTGACGATAAAAAAAAATGAGCACCACAAACTCTAATTTTTTGCGTCAACATGCGACCATGCATTTGTTAGGTAAAAATCAGATTTAAGGAAGAGTAATGCTACACGTACAAGAATATGTTCACGGAATCCACACAGGGGATGCGTAGTTTCATCGATTGTTAAAAAAAAAAAAAAAACCTTCTAATTAGGTTCTGCCATCACAGCATCTATAGGAATTCTGTGAAGAATTCCGCTGTACTTGTAGAACTTTCCTTTAGGAAATGTTAAAAAAAAAAAATACTACTAGTTAACAAAATATGTGAAGATTGTGATTTTTTTTTCTTGCTTAATTAATGATATGATTATATTAACAATATGTTATTATCAAGCAGTAGCTTTTTGACATGACGGAATTATCACATTATCATAATTCATAATCATGCATTTGTAAGATTTGAAACAGTCTAAGGCTCCAATGATTATATATGTAATTAAATAATTTTTTTTTTAATATTTCACGCTCTTACATAAGTGACTTCGACGTGATATCACAATAAGTTATGATTTTCATAAAAAATCAAGTCACCTTTGTTGAGTATAAAAAGTTAAATAAATTCGTTATTTCCAACATTTCACGCAATCTTCACGGTCGACAAGTAGAAATACTAACTTTTTAATTCCAAACATTTATGAATGCATTATTTTTTTTTTCACTTTTAAGTAAAACTTATTTATTTTGAAAGTTCTTCTACATTACATTCAAAGAAATAACTTATTTATTTTCAAATTTGATCAATAAACAATTATTTATTTTAAATTCACTCATTTACTTGAACCTAAACTTTATAAACATAGCCAAGCATGATCTCCTATATTTGATTAAAATTATATTTTGTTAAAAATTATATTTGAAAGAATAAGTAACTTATTTAATTTACTTCTAATCACAACCAAAACAAACAAGAACAAGAATTTCAAATCACGCCCGCGAGTATTACATTTGATTTGACGAAAAAGAAGAAAAAAAGTTGAGCACTTGTGGTAATTATAGAAATATAGGATTCGGTCGGTGGGATTTCCCTCTCACAAAGATTTATATATTAATTGTATTCATTAATGCCAAAACTCTGCTTAATTATTTTATTAATTACAGTTGAAATAATGTTCACTAAATAAACCAAATGTATAAGTATTTTATTTCATATTAAATTCAGATCAAATGTCAGCCGTTGATTCACCAATATACACATCAGTCTCTAACATTTTTTAATCTTTGATAAATAATAAATCATTCAAGTGTCACCCCCATATTATATTAAATTGGATCGGACCAACCGACTCGACTAGACTAGAAAAATTAGGAATCTACGGGTCTGTTCGGTAGTGATTATGAAAATTGATTTTTTGACTTTTAAAGAGGAAGAGTGCGTCCTACCTATGAGTGAAGAAATAAAAAAACGACAACTGGAATAATGAAATAACGGTCAAAAAAATCAATTTTTTGGAGGGAAATATTGCTATCAAATGGGCGCTAACAATTACAAGTAAAAATATCAAAAAATAAAAACCATTTTCTTTGTTTCATTCTTTTGATCTTTTATTTTTTACATTTTCCCAGATAAATGTATTTTCAAATTTTAAACATTACTATCGCTACATATCATTTATAAGAATTGTGCTCATATCGAATATATTCATGAAAATTACACGATTAAAATTCAAACTTAACTTTTAGCCTGTGATTAAAATTTAAAAATATTGAAAGAATATATAATTTCAAACATCAATAACCAACATCAACGGCAGGTTTTAAGGAAAATCTTATTTTAAATGAGACATAAAGTTTTGGAAAATCTTTAAGGGCCAATTCTGTCGACAAAGTATCGATAAGATAATTAGGAAATGATTAAGACTGATGACTAATGCTAATGGCTAAATTCCAAGCCATGCAAATATTGAAGGGACAGACACTTGTATGATCGACTGCGGCTTGAGCCACAATATGGCTTGAAATTATACAAGTGGAGATTATGGTAATTACTTTTGGACTTGAATAAGGTCGAATCCATTTTCATCAATTGCCGTATACAAGTTTTGTAAATGGACAACGAATCTAGCTACAAAACTTGACCTCAAAATATCTTGTTAAATCACGTCAACTAAGCTGTTATTATTTGACTATTTATTCTTAGAGAAAAAACCTGCACGTACAGGTGCAGTTTTCACAAGGGCTTTATAGGCTCTTCACTGTTTGGGGGCAGGCCCCACATGTATTTTTAAAAAATTGTAGGGCTCGCCCCCACTTGTTTCTTGCCTGGCAGGAACCTGTACGTGTAAAATCTCTCTTCTTAAAGACACAAAGTCTCCATTATTGATTCAAATAAGCCCTTATTTGACAATCATTTTTTCAGAACTCTTTATTTTTTATATTCATTTTCAATCACACATTCATATAATAAAATATTTTACATATAAACCCAATTCTTTTTTTTAAGAACACATTCTTCAAAAAATCACTATTAAAAACATTATTTTCACTCAATTTTTCTTTATAATGGCTATCAAACGGGCTAAATAAGCCGTGACCTCTAGATATGTTACTAAATGTTTAGTAAGCAAGACTGATAGTCTAATTGGGTATTGCGCTTCAAGAGTTCAAATCCATTGCCCTTTTAATTTCATTTTTGACATAGACGTATTCATTTTTCTTAACAAATAAGAATACACAACAATTTTTGGTACCTCAGCACATTATATATCTTGGCTTCTTCCCACTAGCTAATAATAGATAATTTGTCGAGGTATCAAAAATTTTGTGAAAGGACAACCATAAGAACTACAAATTTCAACTTGCACTTTGTAATTGCACTAATCTTACAAATAGACTTCAGACACAATCACGATAACCCTTTTGCAAGTCCCTAACTCTACCTGCAGATATGTTATTGCCTTGACTTATTCATGTTTAGTAAAGCTTATATTATAGTTTTAACTAGTTAAACATACTTTCTATTCACACATTTTGTAAGATCGCAATTACTATTCATTTATTATCCATTAATTTCATAAAACTCAAGCATATAATTACTTATAAGCACTGCCAAGATATTTAAGCAAAGTCACATGCATTTTTTAAATAATTAATTAGTCAAATACAAATTTATTGTGCTTAATTTCTCGAGTTAGTCAAGCTGTAATCTTGATAGAGTAATGTTATTTGGCCTAATTGGTGTGCACCAGTTTAGGTGGCATTAATGTGACATTAAATGATATGTAAAATTAAATAATTCATTTAATTTCATATTTCATTCAGCCTATCATCAAGCGCCATCTAAAATAGGGTTATAACCCCATTGGGGCTGCATAGCATTATTCATCTTGATAGGAATAGTTCTCTTTTTTAGCTATGGTAGTGTTCATGAATAAAATTATTAACACATTTATAAGATTATTAGTATTGAGTCCCACGAAATGTATGGTTAATAAATGCGTAGTAATTGTAAATATGTGGTTGAAATCAATTCCCAAATTAGTCAATCTGCCATCTTGACAGGAATAATTCACTTTTTTTTTTTTTTTTTTTAGCTAGGTAGTCTTCGTATAAAATTATTAGTAACTTTTTAATAAGAATAGTATTGGGTCTCAAGAAATAAATCAATAGTAGTTGTGAATTTGTGGTTAAAATTAATGTTTGAAGTTGACTCAATAAAGAAAATAGTAACTTTTAATTTGACACGAACACATGCTATAAATGCTTGTGATAGTGAGTATTGAAGAAGCACCCGTTTATCTTGCCTTGAGTGGTGACTTGAAGCTCAAAAAATGGCAAGTTTATCCCAATTCTCCTTTTCGCATATGCTTGTCTTCATTCTACTTGCCTTCTTTTGTTTCTCCAACCTGTGCTTCTGCTTCAAACCCAAACATTTCAATCTATCCACTCAAGCTGTGCATTGGTCATCCGCCGGCGCTACTTGGTACGGTAGCCCTGATGGTGCCGGAAGTGACGGTATGTCAAAGATTAAGTTTAAATAAATCCATTTGTTCGTCCTCCATACCAACTCAAACTTTTAAATGAAACGATTCAATATCGTAATAAAAGTCCTGAGTTCAAGTTAAGGTTCTTCTCATTTACGAAATTTGTGTACATAAAATAAGCGTGTTGATTTAAAGCGGTAAGGTAGTCATGGTGTACGAATAGCTTATGTTTAAGTATACTAAAGAGTGACATAATATCATTGCATGCAGGAGGAGCCTGCGGATATGGAAACATAGTGTCACAAGCACCATTTTCTTCTCTTGTCACTGGAATTGGCCCATCCCTCTACAACTCAGGCAAGGAATGTGGAGCTTGCTATAAGGTATATACAAATCACCCAGTTCTATAAAAACTTTCGAGATATATTTAGTACACAGTATTAGACTGGAATGAACGATAAGCACAACCGTGTTAAGTTTTTAATGCATTTAACATTTTTCTTTCCTGTTGTCAATTCAATAGTGTGGACTGTACCTAAAACTTTCAATTAGCCAATTATTAAATTAGGGAAAAGATAAATATATTTATACTATAGTTTTCAATAACTGGACTACATTTTAATTACATGAGATGCTCATAATTTTTATACGCTATCACATTTATGTCTTAAACTTTTTGACATGATAATCTTATTATCAAATTAATATAAATTGTTCCTGATTATAATTTCTCTCTAAACTTTTCTTTAAGATAGAGTAAAAGGACTCACTTTCTCATAATATTTTTGAATAAGCAAAACAAATAATACTGGATTATACTATTTGTACATAAAAAATTTACATAAAGAATTACATAAAATGAAATGGAGGAAAAAGATTTGTTGAAAAAGTTGATTGTGTTTCAAACTGATAAATGATGGCGTGACATGTGGTATTATGTAATTCATTATGTAAAATTTAATATACATGTAACAAAGTCCAATAATACTACATAATGTGATTAAATATTTGACATTCATTTTAAAGTATGTTAACAACATTTTTGGACGGAGACCAAAATTAAGGACAAAATTTTCTTATCATTAATGACAAAAAAGTTATGAATATAAATTTGATAACGATAAAGGTTAATGATCTTTAATATAATTAAAATAGTGTATTTAAAAAAAAAAAAACACATATGATAACCATCCTTAAGAGAAATAATGACCAAGTTAAAATAATAAAATCTAATATTTATTGTTTTTGTCATTCTTATATGTGTAATATATTCATGTTCCAATAATTGTTAGATAAAATGTACAAAGCACCCGATGTGTTCCGGCAAACCGGTGAGGGTCGTTATCACTGATTTTTGTCCCGGAGGCCCATGCGCATCGGAATCAGCTCACTTCGATCTAAGTGGAACAGCATTTGGTTCCATGGCCATCCCGGGTGAAGAAAATAAACTTCGCGATGCAGGAGTATTACAAATTCGATATGCAAGGTAAGTTGACGGCCTATTACCACCAACGACGATGCAAGAAAATTTCAAAATGGCTAACATTTTATTTCGAATATGTTTCAAAAACTAAAATACTTTTCGAAAACTCTAAAAAGGTTTCAAAAACTTGAAAAAAAAAAAAACGTTAATATTTTTTATTTGGATTAATCTTGTTGTACATTGGCTTCTACATAAGGGTGTTCATCAACGTCTCGACATTGGTCGAGGCGCCTGTGGGCCGGGGCGTGATGTCCATAATGGACATCCTTATATAGAAGTCAATGTACATGTAACATCTTTCTTTTTATTTTTAAAGAAATCATAATTTTAAAGAAACTATAAATAAAAAATATAGATAGATTGGAATGGTGGTCATTAACTAGGAATACAATTGACAGCGGGCTTTAACTTTTTATAAAAAAAGCTAACAAATAATTTAGAACTTTTTCCAGTGATAGAATGAATAACTTTTAATATATATGCCATAATGCATCGAGTTAATATCTTGATTTGACAGTTCGAATGGTTCTGTAATTTTTAATATTTGATTAATGTTAAATTTTTTTTAAATAAATTATTGAATTATAATGACTATCATATATATTTTCTCTCGTTGTTTTGTGTCCTTTTGCCAACAAAATAACTCTTCCATATATCATGTCACATTTTGGTCTGGTCTATGCATAAACTATCAAGCATTATTCTCAATTCCTAAAAAATGGAATTAATGTTCTCGTCACATTTAAAAGTTAAAACCCTTAATATCACGACTCCGCCTTGATCATTTTTGTGGTAGGGTTGCGTGTGATTATTCGGGGAAGACCATCATGTTCCATGTGGATCCGGGGTCCAATCACGAGTATTTCGCGGTGGTGGTCGAGTTCGAAGAAGGAGATGGAGATCTTGCTAGGGTTGATCTGCTGCAAGCATCAAGTGAACCTGATGAATGGTGGGAGATGAATCAATCATGGGGTGCAGTGTGGCAATTGAATGCTGGTACAGAATTGCATCCTCCATTTTCAATCAGGTTGACATCTCAATATTCTGGCCAAACCCTGGTGGCGAAAAATGTAATTCCGATTGGTTGGCAGCCTGGTGCTACTTATAGATCCCTAGTTAACTACCTTTGATTATATAATACATAGTAATAGGTGTTTTCACTTTTCATCAGTGCATATTAGAGCATGTTTGGTTGTGCTTCTTTTAAAGAAGAACGAGTTTTTTTTCTCGACAATACTGTCACACTTGATACTTACCCTGTCGAGAAAAGCTGCTTTTTATGTTAAGCCAAACATATGTGCTCTTAATTGTGTGAATGCATGAGAGATGTCTTTTAATGTCATTTATGGTTTAGAGTCGACGTTGATTATGTTAGAATTTCAATGGTCAATAAACTCTATTTTATTATTATTAAACCCCAGTTTATTTCCTATTTTTTCCTATTAAAATGAAAAGTATGATCGTTATCAATCACATCAAATTATCAAATTTGAATTTTTATCTCTTGTGTAGTATCCATAACAATTATATTTTTCATTCTCATTTTTACAAAAATGATAAACAAAAGCCCCCTAAATAGTTTATTATATTATAATTTTAGAATCGTCTATTAAAAAAATATTTTTTTTTCAATTGACAATTTTCATGTAAAACAAAGCCAAACGAACACCAAAAGATAAATGATTTTTTTTTTTTTGGCAATGGAAACAAATTTTGTCCCCAATACCAATAAATTCTATCCCTTTAATTGACAATTTTCATGTAAAACAAAGGCAAACAAACACCAAAAAATATGTTTATTTCAACATTTTTCAAGTGAAAATTTATACAAATCAAACACAATAATTTACAATTCTCAGAAAAATAATTTTTAGGCAATTCAATTTTCTGGAATTATTTTTCTAGACAATTTAATTTCATCTTTACAATCAAACAGATCTTAATAATCAATGTATCAAAAGTTGAATTTGGTCGTAAAAATTATTGAACAAATAAATTAAAAAAACAAAATTTTAAGGTGGACCGACTAGTCTGTGGTTCCTTAAAATTTTTCTATGTCAGTCTTTTATTTGGAATATATTACTTATACATAATGCGGTATAAATAAATGTGTCCACCCTCCTCACATAGAGGAGAACTCACTTTCAATAAAATATAATTTATTCGAAATGGGCCCCCTTCATGTGTGAAAGGTGAACACCATTATGAATACCTTAATGTACGTATAACATAACTCCATTTATTTGCGAAAATAAAATATCTCCAGCAAAAAAATTGTTAATATGGGGATGCTGTTATGAAAAATGACTGTAGTGCCCTTGTGGCATATGTTGCAAATTTCCATGTGGTCAAGTAGCCGACGATCATGCTTAATTTTCTAGTGTATCCTCGGTTTCTTCTTATTTGGGCATTTAGTAACAATTTTCTCTAGTGTCGAAACAAGAAATATGTCAAACAAACCCCGTAAGGTAATTAGTAACTTTATAACTACTCAAACCTCATCTAAAACTTCAAAATTTCAACCAACCAAAGCAAGACTTCGCTACACTTTAACCAAATCAAGAATCAGAGTATAAAAGTATTTTCAAGAGATTCTCTAAATATAAGATACTCTCTATTTTAAAGAGTTGATTATTAAAAATAAATTTTAAGAGACTATTCATTCTAGCTTTTATAATGATTACATTTAGGCCATGTTTGGTACTGATTTAAATTGGATTTTAATTTAAGTCAAAGTCAAACAATCAATTTTAACTACATATTTTATGAGACCCACAACTTTTCAATCACATATTTCAAAAACTTTTATCAAAATATTCTAAAATTTTAATTTTTATCCCCCACCAAACAAATGCTTAATAAGCCGCGGGTATTAATGCTTAAAATTCTAAATTATTCAAATTATATTCGAATTAATTGCTCATTGACATATAAATAAAATATGATGAAAAATCTGATATATATTTATGGTATAAATATAAAATGTGAAAGAAAGAATCAAATTAGATAAAGTGCCAAAGTGGTGGGAAATGTGACATTTGTGTGGGACGTCAGGGGTTCGAGTCACTCTCCACGCAGATATTAAAATGTCTTGATTCGGGCCTTGGGCTCTTAGGCTTCCTTGACTAAAATAAATGATTTTTTCTTTATTATTTAATGGGTAAAACTAGCCAGTATTTTCTGACTGTTTGTTTTTGTAACAACCCACTAACAACCATTAAAATACCCACTACTCAGTCATTAAAATTCTGCATTAACATGGTAAAGACTGTTACTTCCATCTTGTCTATATAAACCCATATCTCGTTTTGGGAAAAAGACACACAAAAAGAAAATAGAAAAATCATCTTGCATCAATCCTCCTTTTCATATTCTGAATTTCTTATATTCGGGTTTTTATATATATTCTGGAGTACAATTGAGAATTTTAGAAAAATCATTCGTGATTGCTGCACAAGTGATTTACGATCGCTGTATCTTAGGAGTGATTTTCCACGGAGGTTGCAGCAATTATCGACGGACAATTTCAATTTAGGACATCGTGCGGTCACGAGACTCGATCGGACGATAAGTTTTATATTTCTGCATTATATTGTTTTGTTCACTACTGCAACTAATTATTCTATTCCAACAATCTAAAGTGAAATTTTCTTTATAATTAGTTGACATGTCTACCGTAGATATATCTGTTTCTAAGTATTCTGAAAAGTCTGAGTTTTTTGATGGAAAGAATTTTAAGAGATGGCAAATGAAACTGCGATTTTATTTGACAACACTTAAAGTCATTGATACTATTGAATCAGATAAACCCGATTTTACAATTGCTGATAATCCTACTGATAAGGAAATCGAGCATTTAGCTAATTGGGAACATAAGGATTATATGTGCAGAAATTATATTTTGAATTATTTGACTTTTGATCTGTATGATGTTTACTACTCGTGTAAATCTGTAAAAGAGCTATGGAATTCATTAGAAAAGAAATATGCTACAGAAGATGCTGGAACCAAGAAATTTGTTGTGGGAAAGTTTCTAGATTTTAAAATGAATGATGTTAAAACTGTGGTTAGTCAAGTTGAAGAATTGCAGATTATAATTCACGAAATTATTGCTGAAGGATATAAAATCTGTGAAGGCTTTCAAGTGTCAGCTATAATTGAAAAATTGTCATCTTCTTGGAAAGAGTATAAAAATAGTTTGAAGCATAAGAGAAAAGAAATGTCCTTAGAGGATCTGATTATCAGGATTAGAATCGAGGAGGACAATAGAATGGCAGAACGTAAAGAAAGGCCAGACTTTGATACCAAGGCTAATCTTATTGAAGGAAGTTCTGGGACTAAGAAACTAATTGGAAATTTTACAAGGGATCAGAATTTTAAAGGCAGAAACAAAGGAAAATAATTTGTAGGAAAGAACAATCGGTCTAAGCCCCAGTTTAAAAATAAAATTGTTGGTGACTATTTTGTCTGTGGTAAACTAGGTCACCTTGCAAAGGATTGCAGAAATAGGAAATGAAAAGCTGTAAAGCATCAGGCACATGTGGTAGAAGATGGGAATTTCTCTGCTATGGTGACAGAAGTGAATCTAGTAAGCAACATGACAGACTGGTGGGTAGATTCTGGAGCTACCAAGCATGTTTGTTGGATGAGAGGTGCATTTTCTTCATTCACTCTCGCTAGTGATGGAGAATGTCTGTTCATGGGCAATGCTTCCTCCTCCAAAATCGAGGGGAAAGGAACTGTGACGCTTAGATTTACTTATGGAAATATCCTTAATTTGAAGGATGTCCTTTATGTACCTGATATTAGGAAAAATCTAGTGTGTGGATCTATTTTAGTCAAAAAGGGTTTTAATATTGTATTTGAAAGTGGTCAAGTTGTACTGTCTAAGGGTGGTTCCTTTGTTGGGAAAGGGTATGCAGATGAGAGTCTGTTTAAACTCAATGTCTCTGTGATTAACAATAAAGTTAGCTCTTCCGTTTACTTGTTGGATTTTTATGATTTGTGGCATGCTAGATTTGGACACGTTAATAAAACTTCCATTAAAAAATTAATGACTTTGGGAAACATTCCCAAAATCGATAATTGTCCAAATTCAAAATGTGAAACGTGTGTTGAATCTAAATATTCTAGAAAACCATTTCCTCGTGTTGATAGGACTACTTCGGTCTTAAGTTTGATATATTCTGATTTATGTGATTTAAAAGGATATGTTACTCGTGGTGGAAATAAATATTTCTTAACTTTCATTGATGATTATTCTCGATATTGTTATATTTATCTACTTAAGAGTAAGGATGAAAGCTATTTAAAATTTATTTCCTATAAAACTGAAGTAAAAAATCAGCTAGACAAAACTTTTAAAGTTTTAAGATCTGATAGGGGAGGAGAATATATAGGAGATTTTGATAAATTTTGTGTTGAGAATAGTATTATTCATGAGACTACTTCGCCTTATTCTCCCTAATCTAATGGTGTAGCTGAAAGGAAAAATCGAACCCTTAAGGATATAGTCATATCAATGCTAAGCTCTTCTGGATTACCTTTTAACATGTGGGGGGAAGCACTTCTTACTGCATGTTATATTCTTAACAGAATTCCTAGTAAGAAAAATAATAAGTCTCCTTATGAAATATGGAAGGGTAGAACACCTTCATATAAATATCTTAAAGTGTGGGGGTGCTTAGCTATAGCTTCTATTCCAGCACCTAAGAGAACTAAACTTGGTCCGAAAACTGTTGATTGTGTTTTTATAGGGTATGCTTTTCATAGTAATGCCTACAGATTTTTAGTCGTTGACTCTAAAAATAATTTGATTGAAAAGAACACAATATTTGAAACGAGAGATGCTAAATTTTTTGAAAATAGATCTCTATTTAAAGAAAAGTCTGAAGGATGAAGCAGTTCTTTTAGTATTCCTCCTAGTGTTAGAGAGGAGCCATCTAAATTAGAAGAAGCTGAAATTAGAAGAAGCAAAAGACCTAGGACCACTACTTCTTTCGGTCCTGACTTTATAACCTACTTAGTAGAGGATGATCCTAGTACTTTTGGTAAAGCTATGTTTTCACCAGATTCTATATTATGGAAGGAAGTTGTAAATAGTGAATATGATTCAATTATATCTAATAATATTTGGGAGTTAGTGGACTAACCTTAAGGATGTAAGACAATTGGGTGTAGATGGTTGTTTAAGAAAAAACTTAAATCTGATGGTTCGATTGATAAGTATAAAGCAAGACTTGTAGCTAAATGCTATAAAAAAAAGAAGGAGTTGACTTCTTTGATACTTATTCACCCGTTACTAGGATTACTTCTATTAGGATGTTAATTGCAATTGCCTCACTGTATGATCTTATTATACATCAAATGGATGTCAAGACTGCATTTTTAAATGAAGACTTAGAAGAGGAGATTTATATGGATCAGCCTGAAGGATTTGTCGTAGAAGGTCTTGAGGATAAAGTATGTAGACTTAAAAAATCCCTTTATGGCCTTAAACAAGCTCCTAAGCAATGGCACGAAAAATTTGATACATTTTTGACATCAAGTGGTTATGTGATAAATGAAGCAGATAAATGCATATATAGTAAATTTGAAAATAATTGTGGTGTGATAATTTGCTTATATGTTGATGATATGCTGATTATGGGAACTAGTTTAGATGTGGTTAATAAAACTAAGCGGTTTCTGAACAAGCACTTTGAAATGAAAGATTTGGGTGTTGCTGATGTTATTGTAGGAATCAAAATAGTAAAACATTCTGAAGGAATTATTTTGACCCAATCACATTATGTAAAAAAAGTGTTTAAGAAGTTTAATCAATACAACTGTATTCCTGCTAAAACACCTTATGATGCAAGCCGTCATTTGAGAAAACATTCAGGTCCTAGTGTTTCCGCTTTAGAGTATGCTAAAGTAATCGACAGTCTCATGTATCTCATGAACTGTACAAGACCTGATATAACATATACTGTCGGTAGAGTTAGCAGGTATACTAGTAATCCTAACAATGAACATTGGGATGCTCTCTTTCGAGTCTTGAGGTATTGGAGATACACTCTAGACTGGGGAATACATTATACCAGATTTCCTACTATACTAAAGGGATATTGTGATGCTAATTGGATTTTCGATACCAATGAAAGTAAATCTACAAGTGGATATGTATTTACATTAGTAGTCGGTGCTGTTTCTTGGAAATCCACTAAGCAAACCTGCATTGCTAGATCTACTATGGAATCTGAGTTCATAGCTTTAGATAAGGTAGGTGAGGAGGCTGAATGGTTAAAGAATTTTCTTATGGATGTTCCTTTGTGGTCTAAACCATTTCCAACTATTTCAATACATTGTGACAGTCAAGCAGCTATCTCAAGAACTCAAAATTCATCCTACAATGGAAAGTCTAGACATATTCGTAGGAGGCACAATACTATGCGTCAGCTGCTTAAGGATTGGATTATAGCTATTGACTATGTGAAATCAAGTGATAACATTGCTGACCTATTAACCAAAAGATTGGCTAGAGAGCTAATTCAACAAACATTGAGGGGGATGGGGCTAAAACCTATTATTTATTAGATCACCTATAATGGAAACCCAACCTTGCAATTGGAGATCCCATGGTCAAGGTTCAATGGGACAACAAAGTTATTGGAGTGGTCTGTGGGGGTACTACATTGGATTTATTCCAAACCCCTCCCTATGATGCGCAGTACCAACTGTATAGATTAGAGGATGAGCTAATACTCTTAATGCTTACTATAGCTGATATTCAGTGGGGTGTTTAAATACAGTGCACTCTTGATAGTAGCACCTATTTGAGTGTGGGATGGGGCCGCTTCATATGAGAATTGAGGCAAATTCTCTAGAGCACTCAAAGAAATTGGGAAAGTTCACGGCTGGAATGAACACAACCGCGAGAACTCAATGATTGTTCTAGAAATCATGTGTGTATTCTATTGTCTCAGTTTGCAACTATAATTGTAGAGTTCAAGACGTAGTTCACTCTATAGTTAGTAAGCTCGATAGAATATACAAAGCCAAGGTTCAAATCGATAGACACCTAAGCCTGCATGATTTCTACCGTACTCCAGAGTAATATTTTCATTTATCTTATTTCTTTCATGTGGAGGATTGTTATATATTTATGGTATAAATATAAAATGTGAAAGAAATAATCAAATTAGATAAAGTGCCAAAGTGGTGGGAAATGTGACATTTGTGCGGGACGTCAGGGGTTTGAGTCACTCCCCACGCAGATATTAAAATGTCTTGATTGGGGCATTGGGCTATTAGGCTTCCTTGACTAAAATAAATGATTTTTTCTCTTTATTATTTAATTGGTAAAATTAGCCAGTATTTTATAACTGTTTGTTTTTGTAACAACCCACTAACAGCCATTAAAACACCCACTACTCAGTCATTAAAATTCTGCATTAACATGGTAAATACTGTTACTTCCATCTTGCCTATATAAACCTATATCTCGTTTTGGGAAAAAGACACACAAAAAGAAAATAGAAAAATCATCTTGCATCAATCCTCCTTTTCATATTCTGAATTTCTTATATTCGGGTTTTTACATATATTCTGGAGTACAATTGAGAGTTTTAGAAAAATCATTCATGATTGCTGCACAAGTGGTTTACGATCGCTGTATCTTGGGAGTGATTGTCCACGGAGGTCGCAGCAATTATCGATGGGCAATTTCACTTTAGGACATCGTGCGGTCACGAGACTCGATCGGACGATAAGTTTTATATTTCTGCATTATATTGTTTTGTTCACTACTGCAACTAATTATTCTATTCCAACAAAATCAATATTTTTTTTTTGAAAAAAATTACAATAAAGGATTAAAAATAATATCATTGTTGGGAGCTTCAACATTGTTCCATGTTAGCTAAAGAGAAAATTTAAAATCTAACAATTGTGATCAATTTCGTCCTGGAGTCAATTTCCCTTTATGGAAATTACACACCAACAAGGTTTTTAAATATCACTATTCCTAAATTAGGTGAGAAGTTTAATTAAGAAAAAATCAGGTAATTAATATATAATAACAATATTATAAAAGTAAATAAATTTACATACCTCCGCTCACCAAACCCATCTCTCTACCCAATAAATCAATTTCAATGCACTTTGTGACTCTTCACGATGCAACCACTTCGACGAATCTCGACAATGCACCCACTTTGGCTACTATTAACGATGTAGTGGCGACACTTCTTCGAACTAAGCACTCAGCGCTGCTTGCCGTGACCATCGACGCATTGAAATGTTTGGTGGAGTCTCGAATGTAATGACGACGTCGGTGTAGCAGCGGCTCTCACGTCTCACCTCTATCTCTGCAGCAATGTCACCGCAACACACAGAAAAAAAAAGAAAAAAGAAAAAAAAAGGGATTTTGTACAATCTATGGAAAGACAATTTGGAGAAAGAAAATCTAGGAAAAATATGCTACTACCATCGTGGTATCACAATTTGTGCTTAGCGAACATCAATGGCCCATCACCGTTGCTTCTAATCTAACAGTGGTTGATCCACAGGGGCTCAACTCTATTATTTCCTTCTCGCTCTCACTCTCCCTCTTTTTGTCTTATTATTTCTGAGTTTAATTTCCCTAATGTTATGGTGGTTTATGTGGTCGATGGTTGCTGTAGTGATTTTTTTTCCGGTTGTTGTGATGTGTGCAATTGTTGTGATGGTGGTTTATTGGTTGTTGTGGGTGTGGTGGTGGTTTTGGAATTGTGGGGTTGCAATGGTGAGCTGTGTAGTGGTGGTGAGGTGGTGGCGGTTGTGGAGAGTTGGTGTGGTTGTGATGGTGGCGACTGTGACGATGGCAATGACAACGATGGTGGTGGTAGCTACAACAGCAGTAGAGTGGGAGGAAGAGTGTGATCATTATTTAAGTGTTGTGACCATTGGTTAATTTGTAAGCTAAAAAAAGTGTGATTGTGATTAAATTTGGAATCGTGACGATTATTTGGTAAGTTAAATACTTCGATAATTTGTGATTGAAAAATAACTTGTGACTAATTAATTTGACAACTTATAATCATGAAATAAATTGTGACCTATAAAATTTGTGATTGATAAATAAATTGTGACATATTAATTTTTTGATTTGTGGCCGATAAATAAATTGTAACTTATGTAATTTTTAATCTATGACAATAAAATAATTTGTGATCTATAAAATTTTTTATCTGTAACCAAGAAATAATCTGTAATCAATTAATTTGATAATATGTGATCAATAAATAAGTTATGACCCATTTATTGTATAATCGGCCATGCTATATATACAATTGGGATTGACAACCGACCCTCGATTAACAATCACACACATGGGAGACGATGAATAAAAAAAATCATAGGCCTCCCTCCTATGATGAGGTTGTCAACCGGGGTTATTAACGTCGATTGTACAATTAGCAAAATTTATTGTATAATTGTGTTCTTAATATATTTAATTAATAAAATATTTTTGATTATTTATTTATCACCTGAAATTTGAATTTTGAAACATAAACTTTTTGATATGTGATCTCGAAATTTTTAAATTGGGCATGAAACTTTAATACAGTTGTGATTTTTTCCCTTTCCCAGTTCCACTTGAACGGTTGAACCCACCAATGCATCCACCGTAGCCCGTATAGATGTACATAGCTACAGACATGGGGAGTGTCATTGTCTTCTACAAAATTCTTTTATCTCTGCGCTTATAATCAAAAGATTCTCCCGAAAAAATCTTCTTGTACTTATAATCAAAAAGAAAGGCAGAAGCAAAACCTATTTGCGCTTGCAACAGCAGCACTGAAAATGGTTAAAGCCATTCGGGTCCATGAACTTGGTGGCCCTGAGGTATCCCATTCCCCCCTCGTATTGTGGTAATTTATTGCTACATGTTATAGCCTTTTTTTACTATCAAGTATGTGATCAAGGAATATAGGTTTTCTGATTTCTGTCTGAGGGGATTTTGGCTTTTGGGTATTGTTTTGGGTTGATCATTTAACCAGTTTACTAAATTTTTTTATTGGGTCAATTATATGTTGAGATTACTTTCTTACTACGTGAACTTGTAGTGATACTGCTTGGCGATTAATGGCTTAGAATAGGAACTTGGAATTGTGATTTTGGCTTGCAGAGAACAAATTTGAATTAGATCGGTTTATGTAATTCTAATTTTAAAGCCCTAATTCTGTAACGCCAAACGTAAAGCGGCAGTTCTTGTTATTCCTGCTTTGCATTCAAATGCAGACTGTAGATCTCCAGAAGGTCCAATAATAAAATTAGCAAGAATATCTTGAACCCTTGTTGAATTGTGATCGGCAGTAATCTTTTTAAACTGAAAAAAAAGGTCGCAAATTGGAAAAATCACCCTTGAAGGATTTCCTAACTCAAAACTATATTGTTGTGTCTCCTTGTTAAATTCATATTCTCTTGTTGCCACTATGACTTGATTTCTCTTCTCTTATTCCTACTTCTAGACCCCAATTCATAGGATAGAAATATGGTATTAGTTACTGTTATTGCTTGTGTTTGAGTACAAAAGAATTTATGCTTACAGTGTATTCCTTTACGATAGGTCCTAAAATGGGAGGATGTGGAAATAGGGGAGCCAAAGGATGGAGAGATCAGAGTGAAAATTAAGGCCATTGGACTTAACTTTATCGATGTATATTTTCGGAAAGGGGTTTACAAAGTTTCTGCAGTGCCTTATACACCAGGTTTGATGTTATCTTGTTTGCTTTCTTTTTTACTAGCACAGCATAATGTGAATTTATGTTACTGGAATTCCTTCTACAATTGTGGAAGATTATTTAGAATAAATCCCTCTGACGAGTTTTATTATCATGAAAATTAGTATTTAGATGAACATGACAGATCTTCGTAATTGAACTGGAATTGATTCTTTATGTTGTTTAAAACAAAGCAATTAGACAGGTTCTTCATGGTATAAGTTTATCTCAGCTTGAATTTCAATACAATCTGTCAAGTTGTTAAGTGCCTGATGTTAATTTTCTCTGTATTTGCTTAACACGTCAATACCATAAGTATGCATTCTCAAGTCACGACCAAAGGTTCAGATATGAATCAAATATCCACAAACTGAAATTATGATACCACTGCCCTTTTATTATCATGTTCCTTAACGCTAAAGGCCATTTACCTTCACTTGATGACTGAAAGCTAATATAAATTTGATGCAGGTGTGGAGGCCGCTGGTGTTGTTAATGCAGTGGGTCCTGGGGTAACTGGAATAAAAGTTGGAGATCTAGTTGCTGCTAATGTAATGGGTGCATACGCTGAAGAGCAGATCCTTCCTGCAGAAAAAGTGGTTCCCCTTCCTTCATCTATTGATCCTATTTTAGCAGCATCCGTCTTGTGTAAGGGAATGACTGCCCAGTACCTACTTCGGCGTTGCTTCAAAGTATGTCTCAAAATAAGTCGCTGATTTCCCTCTTTCCGTGTAGGCCTTGTGTGTGAGGAGACCCTATTATCACTGCAGCTTATTAGATGAGTTGTTATAAAATATTTACATATCAATGTAGAGTAGCTTTAAATACATCTATTTATTCACTTAGTAGAAATGGGTTCCCAATCTATCCAAAAGCTATCATTCCTGTTGCGCAAAAGTCTGTTAAGTAAGCAATATTAAAAGGACTAGCATAGGGTTATGAAAATCCTCGAAAAGCGATTGGGCGCATTGTATGTGCTAATTGGCCACTTTCATTCTTGATACTGTTTTTATATTGAATTTTCCATTATTTAATTGTGTATTATTCATTTTTCGTACCTATTTCTCATTGCTTCTGTCGAATTCCAGGTCAATAATAGCAAAACCTTAGGTGCTCCATTTTCTTTTCCCCGTTAAGGCTGAACCTAAACCCATGGTCGAGAGATAATTGTCCATACATTGATAAGGTATGTATGGATTTTTGAGATGAAAGAAGCCATGGTGGTCCCCCTGTCTATATAATAATAATATAAAAAAGATTTAATGAAATGTCTCATGTTCTCCAAAAACTTACACCGACCCTACCCCTCCACCCCAGTGCCGCCGGCGATTCCTCTCCCCACCTGCTGCCTGCGGATCCTTCCCCTTCTGTAATCAAATTCGTGACCCAAAATCCAGCCAATATACATACTGAAATCTCGAAGCTGTAGTGGTGGCAGCATGGACTACACCAAAAGACGAAATTGATTCTTAGTTCAACACCTCAAAAACCAATAAACTCCTACCAGATTTACGTGAAGAAAATGCATCTGTAGGACCAAGACTAGATTTACATTAAATACATATATACAACCAAATTTCCATGAATTGAATGCATATAGGTGCGTGTCAACTGGTTTAAAATGCATATTTGCGTTAATTAATAATTTTTTTTTGGAGGATTGACCATAACTGGATTATTGTGTTTTTTGATATTAAGTTGGAATGGGAAGAAGGGGGACTGCCCCTAGTGGCGATGAGTAGTGGTGTGGGGATCCAAAAATCATAGAAGAAGGGGGGCTTGGGGTAGGGGTGGGACTTACAAGTTATGATAGAGGAAGTAATGATCTGGGATTGGGAATGGATATGGAGGACACGGTGGGGCTGGGGCAGGGGACACGGGAGCACAGATAGTGGTGGTGTTGGTGGCGGCCCGGCATTGGCCGCCTGTTTGTGTTTGAATTGGCTGCCTGAAGACAGGTAGTTGTGTTGGCTGCCTTGGTCATCCGTAGAGAGTAGTTGTGGTGGTTGCATTGGCCGGGTTGAAGAGTGGTGGTGTTAGTTGTCTTTTTTCCTTCCGATTGATTTTCTATTTATCCTATATTCACAATTTCAAATTATATGTTTTTCCATTTTTTCCCTCAAGAAATGTGACACGAGACTCCTGTGTTTCATAGTTATATGGACGGTTTCCGTTTATTTGGACCACAGTGCTACAGAAATTATAGGATGGGATTTAAATGCCAAAATAATAGATTGTGAACCAGTTTGCAACTGCTTCAATAAGTTGGAACAAATGCTTCAATTTCCCCTAAATCCATGGGCCTGTTACATTATAGCCATTATCATGGTCAGCCTGTTAAATCCTAATCGATATCGTTATTATCCTAGCTAGGTATTTTTGCAAGAAGGCTGCAATTTTTATGCGCACACTTGGCTTTATAAAGTCATAGTTCAACTTCTAGGTTTTATTTTATTTTATTTTTTATTTTAAAGGGGATCAAAAGATTTCACCCCTTCCCTCCAAAGAGGCTCGAACCCTGTTATTACTTGAGCTAGGCCTTGGCCTTAGTTCAACTTATAGTTCAATAAGATGATTTATGTAGCAGAGACTGTTTTCTGATTCAGTTTCTGAGGATAAAGTAGAAGCAGAGTCTTCTGCTTAAAGATAGAGCTTTTAAGTGCTTATAAGTTGTGTCCTACAGAATTAGTGTGTAAAAAGTAAGTTTGACCAACTTAATTAAAATTAAAGCTTTGCCAAACATGCAATAAATATACGCTGCACACATTGGTAACTGAATCACTAGTGATGCAACTCTGTTGATCACCTCTTCTCATGTTGCAGTTTTCTCCTGCTCTTCACGTATCCATTATGTTTTTTAATTGTACAGGTTGAACCAGGACACACAATCCTTATTCATGCAGCAGCAGGTGGAACTGGATCTCTACTGTGCCAATGGGCAAATGCCCTTGGTGCAACAGTTATTGGAACTGTCTCGACTAAAGAGAAGGCAGCCCAAGCCAAAGATGATGGTTGTCACCATGTCATAATTTACAAAGAAGAAGATTTTGTTACCCGCGTCAATGAGATAACTTCAGGCAAAGGAGTTGAAGTCGTATATGATTCTGTTGGAAAAGATACTTTCGAGGTAATGATATCACTGTAAGTTACATTGTGACAGATAGTTATAAATGACAATCAAACAAAAGAATGAATGCAGTGACAGAATGTTTGTGTCCCTATTTGGTAACTTAGAGTGTATAAACTTGCTTTGGAAGCCTTCGTTTATTTTTGATAGTGTATATTGGTATGATACACTTACTAGTTGTTTAATTGTATTTACTGACATCATCTTTGGCCAAGCTTACTAAAATTCTCTTGGCAAAGCAGAACCTTGTAATTTACTATTACTTCTTTCTAAGCTTCGCCTAAGATACTCTGTAACCGGGAATTTTGTGAATAGGGATCATTGGCTTGCTTAAAGCTTCGTGGATGCATGGTGAGTTTTGGCCAGTCATCTGGTACACCAGACCCGGTGCCATTGTCAGCTATTGCAGTAAAATCTCTGTTCTTGACAAGGCCTACCATGAAGCATTACAATGTGACTCGGGACGAATTGCTGGAAGCTGCTGGAGAGGTATTTGCCAATGTTGAGTCGGGTTTTCTGAAAGTTCGTGTAAATCATACATACCCTTTATCTCAGGCAGCGCAAGCACATGCTGATCTCGAGAGTCGAAAAACATCTGGATCTGTTGTACTTATACCGGATGGATGTTGAATAGTCGTTCGAGGAGCAAGTGATAGTGATGCTCCTTACTGTTTAGTGGCTAAAAGTTCATGTTTTATACTCTCAAAATTGTTTTCTGCTTCTGTATCTTTGTGTGTGTGTGTGTGTGTGTGTGTGTGTGTGTGTGTGTTTTTGTCTTCGAAGGGACGTAATTCGGGTGTTATGAATTCGGGATTACTATTACTAAGATTGTCAAGTTCTAAATAGAAAAGCTGCTGAATTTGTAATGTCCAATTTGTATTGATAAAAAAAATCGTTGGTTATGAGTTCAATATATTTATATCGAGGAAGTAGATCATTGCATGATACGCAGAGGCTTATGCGCCCATATTATGGAGTTTGCTTAATTGATATCAATAGGGTCAACTAATTGGTCTTTTGGTGGGGGCAATTGAAGAATTCAATAACGAACAACACTAATAAAGAAGTACACAGAGACTTGCGCGGTTTGGTGTCATTGTGGCAAACTTGCATTTATGGAAGAAGAGAGGAGATTCTATTGTATTGTATTTATGTTTGGAGCTTATAAGGACACGCATATAGTCATATTACATTAAGGTTGCCTTGTTAAGGATGAAGTAATCAAGGAATGAAGATAAACAAATCATGAAAATATTTCAATTGTCATCATTCAAATCACCAAAACATATTCTCCAATATTAGCAAATATCCTTAAAATATCTCTCTTCTCCAACCCTCCTCAAGTTGGTATGAAAATGTTGATAGAGCTCAACTTGGAAAATTTCTCATGAAATTTGGTAAGAATCAACCTTTGGTGAAAATATCAGCTAATTGATGGCTATTACGAACGAAGGGAGTGCAAATAACCTTGTCTTGGACCTATTCTCGTGTAAAATGACTATCAACTTTAACATGTTTTGTTTGCTCATGAAAAGCTGGATTTAAAGCAATATGGATAGCTTATTGACTATCACAGAATATCTATGTCGGTTGTGATGAGCTAAATCCAAAATCTTGTGCAAAAGGTAAAGCAAAATAGTTTCACTTCCAGTGAAAGTCATTGCCCAATATTCAACTTCAGCAAACGTGCAATAACATTATGCTTTTTACTTCTTTATGTCACCAAATTCCCTCTAATATAAGAGCAAAATCCTATTGTAGGTTGTATGTCAACTGTAGAGCCAGCCCAATTAGCATCTATATATGCAGTAATAAAATATTGACCTTTCTTATACATCCATACACCTCTTCTATATGATCCATGGAAATGGTGTAAGGTTCGATAAACAACATCTACATGTGCAGCTTGTGGAGAATGCATAAAACGGCTAACCAAATTGATAGTATATGAGATGTCGGGTCAAGTAATTGTGCGATAAATTTTTCTATCCTCCAATCTTTGAAATTGACCAAATGAGATGATGAGTCATCATCAAGTGTTAATTTTAAATTACGCTCTATAGGCATCTGAGCTAACTTGGCCCCTAATTGTCAGTAACAAATCCAACATATATTTCCTTTATTTGAGACATATGCATTTCTTTGAGTATGTAATCTCTTGTCCAAAAAAATACTTCAAAATTCCCAAATTCTTAGTAGAAATGGAGCAAGAATATTTTCTAGTCTTGATATTTCAGCGAAATCATCACCAGTAATAATTATATCATCAATACATATCAAAACAATAATAATACCAATCATACCTCTTTTCATGAACAAGAAAGAAGTAACATTTCTCATCTTTAAACTACTCTTGACATGAAAATGACAAAGTTTGGCCTACTATGCACGAGATGATTGTTTAAAACTATTTATGGATTTTCTAAATCTACATGTGCAATCACTACGACCTTTTAATGGATGATGCGGAGGTATACTCATGTAAACATCTTACTCAAAATCACTACGTAAAACGGTAATCTTCATATCTCTGTGAAACAATTTTCAATCTTGTTTGACTGTTAGGGATGAAAGAACAAAAAAATGTGTTCATTTTGACTACAAAAGCAAATGTCTCCTTATAAGTAACTCCATAAGTTTAGGTGAAACCTCTTGCAATAATACGCACTTTATGTCGTTTGGAAGACCCATCACTTCTATACTTGGTTTTATAAACATAAGGACACCCAACCGCATTCTTTCTTGGAGGAAGTTTTACAATGAACCAAGTTTTGTTGTCATTGAGGGTTTGTAACTCTTTTTGCATTGCTTGTTTCCAAAGAGGAGAGGAATTTGCTTTTCTAAAATTCTTCAGCGAGTAAATTTAACCAATAATCACTGAACTTTACACTTGATTACTACTTGCTCACTCATCTTTCACATATTACTGAATGCTCACTCATCTTTTCATATAATTACTCATTCATCACTCGTCTCTTCAAATAATTGGGCGACTTTTACGACAAATTTTCGACAACTTCCGACCACAAAAAATGTCGAATTTTGATATCGTTGGAAAGCCCACAATGTCCTCTTCAATTACCATCCAAAATCTCATTATAACTCCAAGGGATTCGATCGAAAAATTGCCTTAAAAGTTGCCCAAAAATTCTGAAAATCTGCCCAGATTTTCAGATTTTTTGGACGACTTTTAAGGCAATTTTTCGGCAACTTTCGACCATCAAAACTATCTAATTTTGATACCATTGGAAAGCCCACAATGTCCTCTTCAATTACCATCCAAAATTTCCCGATAACTCCAAAGGATTCGATCGGAATAAACTCACAAAGTCAGCATCCCGAATTTTGTCCAGATTTTCGCCTTTTCAAGGTGCTGATTTTGTGGGTTTATTCCGATCGAACCCTTTGGAGTTATGGGGAAATTTTGGATGGTAATTGAAGATGACATTGTGGGCTTTCCAATGGTATCAAAATTCGATAGTTTTGATGGTCGAAAGTTGCCGAAAAATTGCCTTAAAAGTCGTCAAAAAATCTGAAAATCTGGGCAGATTTTCAAAAATTTTGGGCAACTTTTAAGGCAATTTTTCGATCGAATCCCTTGGAGTTATAATGAGATTTTGGGTGGTAATCGAAGAGGACATCGTGGACTTTCCAACGATATCAAAATTCGACATTTTTTGTGGTCGGAGTTGTCGAAAATTTGCCGTAAAAGTCGCCCAATTATTTGAAGAGACGAGTGATGAATGAGTAATTATATGAAAAGATGAGTGAGCATTCAGTAATATGTGAAAGATGAGTGAGCAAGTAGTAATCAAGTGTAAAGTTCAGTGATTATTGGTTAAATTTACTCTTCTTCAGCTCTTGAGTTGAAGACAATGAAGTTAAAAATTCTAAACGAAATGAAGGTACATTGGAGCAGTGGCGGATCTAAATGGTGGCAGCTAGAGTGGGCGCCCTAGCTAGATTTGCCGGAACTGTCTGGAGCCATTTTTTTGTTGGCAATAAATTAAAGTTTTAGGTTATATTGCTGGTATTCAGTTTATTTTCAAGTGTTTCTTGTGGCTCACTTGGTCAGACGCTGAATGTATATAGTGGAGGTCCTTGGTTCGAAATTTTTTACCAACAAACTATTGTGCAATAATAATTAAATACAACAATTTTTGCCAAAATTCAAGAGAGTGGGGGACAAAACAAAAATTCGAACTTGTAACCTTTTGTTAGATATAGTATAAACTTCACCGCCATGGCGCCCATTGACTATTGACAATAAGTTTTACAAAATAATATTTGTCAGGTTCTATCTGTTGTAATGCGAGTGCAATTATAAAGATTCGAATCCATGTTCCTCCTTTAAAATATACAAAGTTTGGCAACAATACCATTAGATAGTCTGTTTATTCTTATAACATAATTACATATGTTCAATTTAAACAAAATAATTGTTAAAATTTAAACTTTAGGCTTTATTTGATTCCTATTTTTTTTTTCAAATACATTTTTTATCTCTTCTTTTCAATCACATATTTTTTAATAAAATAATATTATATGCAGATTCAATTTTTTTTTTTAGTCACACATTCTCCATCAAGTCACTATTACAAAATCCTTCTTCTTCTTCTTCTTCTTTTTTTTGCAAGAAATTGGTATCAAACGAACTTTTAATAATTTATTGTGGTTAACAGTAGATAGTCAACGAACGTCCATGCTGACTCAAACTCTTAGATTCGCCCTTGCATTGAAGTATGATAAATAAGCATGTATGGAATGACTTACAACTGCATAAATAACAAAATCCTTTCATTTTTTCGAAACCTTGGATATTCTATTTGACCTTCATAATTTTGACTTCTTCTAGAGCATCTAACACTTCATATTTGGAATGTCTGGTACGTCATGAATAGATGCCCATAAAGAACATTTGGTGTCTCCATTGACTCCATCATGTTTGGTTCTCCCATACCAGAGTCTACAGTTGCTCTTAGCTTCGATAGCCTCTCCAATATTTGAAGAAAATGTCCACACAGTGGGAAGAAAAATGGATCATTCAAACTTTCCTCCTAAGGTAAATTTTTGTTTGGACTCTGTGCTGAAAAATATAGTTGATTCTTAGCAAATCTCACATCCCATGATATAAATAGCTTTTGAGACTAATGATTATAGCAAGCATATCTTTTTTTTGTCGAAAGATATCTTAAAAAGATACACAGGGTGGCACAAGGGATGAGGTTGTAGCAATGCAAGCTTTGGTGGTGCACATAACAAACACAACCAAATATTTGAAGGTGAGACATGTTAGGTTTTCTCCCTTTTAAGTCTTCCAATGGTGATTGAAAATGGGATTATACGATTTAGAAGCCTATTTATCAAGTACGCAGCTGTTAGAACTCTATATAACAAAAATAAAAATAAAAATTCGAAACATTCATTTGTAGCATGAGAGCTCTTGTAGTGTCCAAAATATGTCAATTCTTTCTTTCAATCACTCCATTTTATTTAGTCATGTCAACACAAGTAATAGATGAATAATGCCTTTATTTGCAAAGAAAAGAAGGAAGAGAATCCATTGCATATCAAGTAGCATTATCCGAATGAAAAACCTTGATTTTACTATCAAATTGGGTGACTTGAAATGGAGTAAACTGCATTCATACACTTTTAGTAACTAGATCCAAGTGGCACAAGAAAAATCATAAATAAACAAGACAAAATATTTAAAGCCATCGTATTAATCAATGCAACATGGACCCGATGAATCGTAATGGATTAACTCAAAAGATTTAACAGACAAGAACAAAGAATTACTAAATGGTAGATGAACTTGCTCGAAAAACTGACAAATATCACGAACATGTGTTTCAAAAGACATG